AATAAGGATGGATTGTGAGGATTAAGATCATGATTCTAATGTTATTGTAGAGGTTTACAAGAATTGTCTGTACCGAAACTCAACTCGTCTACAAAAAAACAGGTGTCTCCACTAGGCATCCAACCATGGTGTTAATATTCCATTCTTTAAATGAAACACCACAACGGTGAAGATTGAAATGTAGTCGTGAAGATCTAGCCGGGCTACTTGCCTTGAACCAATGGGTCTTTCTACGCAAGAGTCATCCATGTCATAGAAAGCACCCATGGTTATAAAAAGTACTTTAGCTTTGCTAGATGCATTCAATCATTCAATAAGCAAGTGTAATATAAAGCATTAAGTATAAACGAAATGCACAAATATAACTTCTGAATGATTTATACATGTCCTTCACCTTTTACTAAAGAGTGAATAAGAAACTACTCACTCTTCATGGCTTTGGTAAAACTAGAAAAGTGAGTGATGCTCATCCCTCTAAGTAAAGGAGTTACAAAGTGAAAAACACTAAACAAGGAGCCGATCTTCGACGAAGAATGAGTGAATCATGTTCCACCCTTCATGGCTTTGGTAAAGCTCTAGAAAAGTGGAAGAGTTTCACTCCTCTAAGGGAAGAAGGATGCTTAAACAATGGAAGTGAAACAAACAAACAAAGAAAGTAGAAGAAAGCTAGTCATTTTTGGAGGGTTTCCAAAAGATGATCTATCTTTCTTTTATGCAAGTAAATGTAAATCTATATCTAATTCTAACTCTACAAGTTTGGGTCTAGTGTGAGACTAAAGCCAAGCTCTAAGTCTTAGTGTCCTTGAAGTTCCCACAATGGGAGTATTTATTGGCAAGGAGGATGGGACAAGGTAGTGTGAAAGAATAGTGTAGGGCCTTGAAAGTCCAACTGAAAGCCATATAGTCTACAGCTTGCTTGGGGACAACATTCGAACATTGTCTGACATTCAAATGTTCTACTCGTGTGGCCTCTAGTTTTCTGTGAGAGCTACTTCCATACGCCATGAACCACTACCCTTGCACTCATCAGGTCGTTCTTCAATAATTCAGGACAACGTTCGAACGTGGATTGACATTCAAACGTTGTACTCAAGTATTTATGTATTTTTTTCCTTCTTTGTTGCAACACACCATGCTTAGTACTTCAACAGTCTGATCTTCAATAATTTAAGAGGACGTTCGAACATGGATTGGCATTCGAATGTTCTTTCCTTGATCCAAGCTTTTCCAATTTTGCTCCAGAATATGTTGGTGTTGCACGAAAGTTTGATATTCATTGCCTTTGGTCCTTTGTGCAATTTATGTGTTGAAATGTCATCATTTAAACTCCATCAAAGTATAATTAGTCTTAAAAAGGCATAGTAATATGCTGATTTTAACTACTAATCACAGCATCGACTTCACTAACCTAAATCGGGCTTGCATCAAGGACAGTTTTCCCTTATCTCGGATCGACCTAATCGTAGATGCCACAGCTGGGCATGAGCTCCTCAACTTTATAGATGCTTTTTATGTGTATAACCAGATCAGAATGGATCCCAACGACTAGGAGAAGATGTCCTTTGTGACTGAGCATGTGACATATTGCTACCAGGTCATGCCATTTGGGTTGAAGAACGTCGGAGCTATGTACCAGCGTTTGGTGAACTGTATGTTCTAGAAACTAATCAAAACATCAATGGAGGTATATATCGATGACATACTGTTAAAGTTATTGAAAGTGGAGCTCCACATAGTGCACCTTGAAGAGTCTTTCCAAATCCTCCAGAAGTATCAGATGAAGCTCAACCCAGCCAAATGGGTTTGGGGTCTTCGCTGAAAAATTCTTGGGTTTTATAGTCAATAACAGAGGAATAGAGGCAAACCTAGAGAAGATCAGGGCAGTGACAGACATGTAACCACCCTCAAACACAAGGGAGGTCCAACGCGTAACAGGAAGGCTAATAGCCTTGAGTCATTTTGTCTCCAAGTCAAGCGACAAGTGCTAGTCTTTCTTCCAAATCTTGAAAAAGGTGTTGTAGTGGGATGCGCACTCTGAGGAAGCATTCAAAGCCCTCAAAAACTACCTTAGCTCACCCCCAATCCTAGTGAGCCCTAGGGAGGGAAAGTGTTCATCCTATATCTTGCTGTTTCAGATTTCTCAACCAGCACAGCATGGTCAGAGAGCGAGACAAAGATCAACACCAGTTTACTACTGTAGTAGAGCTTTGAAGGGGTCAGAGAAGAGATATCTGAAAATGAGAAAGCTAGCCTTAGCTCTAGTCATGACAACAAGAAGGCTCATACCTTATTTCTAGGCTCACACCATTGAGGTCCCAACAGATCAACCAATAAAGTAGGTGTTGCACAAACTAGAGTCTTCAGGACAACTGGTCAATTGGCGCGATAAAGCTCAGCAAGTTGGATATCAAATACAAACCCAAGACCGCAATCAAAGGACAAGTACTGACAAACTTTATTGTAGAATTCACCACATCCTCAAAAGCATCTATGGAGGTAACCCAGTTAGCACCCGACCTCCCTACATAGAAGTTTCTAGTAGATGGAGCTGCCAATGCCCAAGACAGCGATGTTGGGTTGATCCTGACCTCCCTCGATGGAATAGATATCGAATATGCCACCAGGTTTGGATTCAAGGCTTTGAACAACAAAGCGGAATATGAAGCCGTCATTGCCGGGCTCAACATGGCGCATTCTATGGAGGCAAAGCAGCTCGAGATCTACAACGACTTCTAACTGGTGGTGAAATAGATTGAGGAGACATATGAAGTTAAGGGAGAAAAAATGATTCTCTACCTAGGGGAGGTACAACATGTCCCTAGAGTTGAGAACTCCTGAGCTGACACCTTAGCAAGGTTAACCACAGCTTCTCAAGAGAACATGGACAGATTGATTCTAATTGAATACCTAGCTGAGCCGTTAGTGAGTTATGAGGATGAAGAAGTATTTCCTGTACTGGTCCAACCAATATGTATAGATCCAATCAGGGAATATATTAAGAATGGAACTTTACCAACATATTCCAAAGAAGCCTCAAAGGTAAGAGCCAAATCATCCAGATTCACCTTCCTACAAGGAAACCTACACAAGCATGACTTCTCAAAACCTCTCTTGAAATGTATAAGGGATGAAGAAGCTGACTACATCCTAAGAAAAATCCATGAAGGCTGTGACAATCACATCGGAGCTCGAGCTTTGGCAGGTAAAATACTAAGGTAAGGTTATTTTTGGCCCACCATGCTCAAAGACGTTTGGTCAGAAGGTGTAAGACCTACTAATTGTATGCCAACGTCCCACGCTGTCCACCAGAGCTCCTTACCCCAGTGATTAATCCCTAGCCATTTCAATAGTGGGGATTGGTTATACTTTAACCTCTTCTCACCAGCATTGGACAATGTAAATTAGCCTTCATTGGAGTGGACTATTTCACCAAAATGGGCTGAGATGGAGCCCTTGACAACAATTATAGAGTAGAAGGTTCAAAATTTCACCTAGAAATCCATAATTTATGGGTTTGGGATACCTAGGGAAATCATCTCAGACAATGGGAAGCAGTTTGACAACCCCAAATTCAAAAGGTTTTGTGCCGAGCTAGGCATAAAAAATTATTTCTCAACACCAACTCATCCTCAATCAAATGGACAAGCAGAGATAATCATCCGAACCATAAAAGTAGCTCTAAAGACCAAACTTGAGGCTTTGAAAGGGCAATGGTGGGAACATCTCGAAGAAGCACTATGGGCTTATAGAATTACAGCCAAGTCGACAACTTAAGAGACGCCTTTCGCCTTGGCTTACAGGACTGAGGTGGTGGCTCTTGTGGAAATAGGTATCTCATCTCCAAGAACAAAGCTCTCCAATCCCAAGCATAATGATGAGTCACTTCTACTCAACCTCAGTCTCTTAGAGGAAAGAAGGGACAAGACCTTGCAGCGCATCCTGGATTATCAAAGAAAACAACTAGATATTACAACAAAAAAGTTGGACACAGAAGCTTCAAAGTAGGAGATCTAGTCCTCAAGAAACATCTCCCTGTAGGAAAGGATTCTACTCATGAAAATCTAGGATCCAACTGAGAAGGTTCATACATCATATCCAAGGTGATCAGACTTGGGAATTACAAGCTAAAAACGGAGGAAGGAAAAATCTTGCCTCATTCCTAGAATTCTCACTATTTAAAAAGATTCTTTCAATAACCAGAAAACTTATAACAGTTCATTAGCAATAAAAAGATGAAGTTTTAGTTCAATCATCTTTCTATTACTAGCATAAGCAAATAAAGAGCTCTTCAGCTCACGAATAATTGATGAGCTTTTCAGCTCATGATGAGCTCTTTAGCTCATAAACAAATGATAAGCTTTACAGATCATAAATAAATAATGAGCTCTTCAACTCATAAACAAACGATGAACTCTATAGCTCATAAACAAACGATGAGCTCTTCAGTTCATAAATAAATGATGAGCTCTACAGCTCATAAATAACTGATAAGCTCTTTAACTCACGATGAGCCCTTCAGCTCATAAACAAACAATGAGCTCTTCAGCTCATAAACACACGATGAGCTTTTCACCTCATAAAACATACGATGAGCTCTTTAGCTCATAAACAAACTATTAACTCTTCAAATCATAAAGACAAAGACAAGCCCTACAGTTCACAAAATCAACGATAAGTTCCTCAATTCAAGAGTTCTAAGATTAGCTCACAAAAACTAAAGGAGAGCTCTTTAGCTCGTTAAATGATGAGCCCTTCAGCTTGCCTAACTACAATGACTTCTTCATAAAGCTAAGTTCTTCAGAAGGGAAACAAACCTCATACTTGAAAAAAAGTTCACTTTCAGAAGAACAAAGTTCTCCTTGAAGCAAGGGGGCAAAGGGGGTTGAACAGAATGCAGAATGCAGTACAAACTGAAGATTTTTTCATTTCATCAAAAAATAAAATACAAGATTAGGTTCTTATCAAAAAAATATTATAAAAAAATAGCAAAAATCCTTAGCCTATAAAGATGGTTCAGCCTCATGCAACCCAAAAGAATTGGCAGAAATATCAGAAGGGGTTCCAGGCAACTTAGAAGAAACAATAGGAAGGTTAGAAGGGATCTCAGAAGAAGCAGAAGCCAGAGTATCAACCTCTATAGGGTCAGCCGGGGGCAAAATAACCTCAGAAACTCTCACTTTTGCCTCAGACAAAACCAACCCAGGAGCCTGAGCCTTAGAAGCTTCAACACCATCAACAACAGGGGACTCCAACCCAGAAATAATTGAAGTTGGAACCTTTGCCTCCTTATCAATAGTTGAATTTTCTTTCTCCTTGTCAAGAGGAGGGGCAAAGTCAAAATCTTTGTTTGGGTATTTTTCTATAGCCTATTCTTGTATTGGAAGGCAAAGTATCTTTGTAGCTGCCTCATCTTTGAGCTTTGTAATCTGAGCATCCTTTTTTCAATTCTTGGATCTCTCCTCCTCAATCTTATCCAACAACGTGGAGTTGACCTTAGCTAGCATGATATACTCATTCTTCAAAGTCTAGAGAGAATCAAGAGCTTCAAAAGCGTACTTCTGTGCCTATATCAAGCTAACAGTCTTCAGCTTGAGCTTATCATTCGCCTTCTTAGCCTCAGCCTCTAGACTCTTGTTTGTTGAGGCTAGCCCCTCAACCTGAGCTTTCAGGTATCGTACTTGAGCCTTGATGTCTTCATTGGTAAAGGCCAAGTTAGCACATTTGAGCTCGTATGTTTTGGAGGATTTCTGAGATGTCTTAGCAGCACCCTCTAGGGCTCAAACTCTACTTACCAGTGCACTTACACGAATGGACAGCTGAAAAGAAACAAAAATTTAAGGTCAAAAAAAGCAACCCATGCAGAAAAGAAATGCAGTTTTGAAAAACTCAAAACTTATCGAAGCCGTTCCATACGTAGCAGTGGCAACCGAGGTGGACAGAGGTATTGTGGAAGCATCCTGAATGTTAAACTCTGGGATCATGGAGGCAATAGCCATGGTAGCCAAGTTCACATCCCTGATGACGAGCTCAGCCAGAAGAGCTCTCAACCTTATTAGAGGTGAGCAGAAGAGGCCCCCACCCAATCGACGTAGAGGCGAAAGGGCCTCATAAGGAAAGAGCCAGAGAGCTCAACGCACTCTCCCTAGTCGAAGTTAGGGGTAGTTGAGGCCTTTAGAGCAGAAAAATCCCCCGCAACATATAATGATGCCTCAATAGTTGACTTTTAGGGGGGTAAAGTCGATGGAGGAAGTAAAGATGGAGGTACCTCTATTCTCTGCACCTTCGAAGGAAGATCAGGTTCAGACCAAGCCTCAACCTTATGCTTTCCACTAGCTTGGCTTTTCCTTATTTGGGCCATATTGGCCCTTATAGCCTCAACATCAAGAGCCATTGAGCTAGAACCTGAGAAAGTAAGTAGTTAGCAAACACAGAGGGAAAAAAAGGACGAACTAGAGGTAAAGAGGGAAGAGTCTTACCTGTAGGATCTTTTGCGCCAACTATGGAGATGGGAGTTAGAGTCTCTACTCTCACCTCAAGGGGACTGAACCCAAACTGAATGAGCACGGAGGGCTTGATTAAGTCAAAATATTTATCTAGGCGAAAGTCCTCAAGATCCAGTAGGGCAAGCCTATCTTCAGCCCCAATGTTTGGATGAATACCTAAAATGATCAAGGGAAACAAGGTCAGCAGAGGAAATGTAGAGACAAAATGTGTCAAGCTAAGTCTCATCTAAGCAAGGACTCACCTAGGTTATCAGGACCAGACCAAGAACGAGGAACAGGAAGGGTGTCAATAGCATTATTCAGGTCGAACTTCCATTCCTTCCCTGACACAAAGACGAATAGTTTCTTCCAATTCTTGTGGTAGCTTTGTAGATCAATAATTAAGGCTGGGGTCTTCACCCATTTAGAAATGTACAAAAAGCCATCAAAAGGGAACTTGATGTTGAAGTACTTCATGAGCAAAGGAATCAAAGGGGTACTGAGTTCATATTTCTTAAAAAAATGATGAGGCCACCAAGACACCCCAGAAGTTGGGAGAAATTTGAGCAGGACAAACGTTGAAGTGCTAAAAAATGGATTTGATGAAGGGGTGTATAGGGAACCAAAGACCGTTCTTCAGAGAGGCTACAAAGAAATAGGTCTTCTCAGGTACCTCAGAGTCATACCTAATGTCTATAGAAGGGCACCAATAACGCATGCCCTTGGAAAAATCAAACCTCACAAAAAAAAACTCATAACAGGAGGCATGACCTCACTATGACCTACTAGGTCTGAAGCGCGAGGAGCAGGCTCAGAGCCCTCAGCATTGTCCGAGGGTCCAGCCTTGCCATTTATGGTCTTCCCTTTTCGGGATCGCTTAGAGCTCAAGGAAGACCCTGGTAAAGATAAAGGCACCTCTACCCTTTCCTCAGCATCAACCCCGGGAAAGTTATCTATCTTATCACCCATATCCCCCATGTTGTCTTCTTTTAGTTCAGGAGACCTGTCGAACATAGTGAGGGAGATGGATGAATTAGTGGCTTTAGAGGAAATAGACATGATTGGACAAGCGAAGGGAAGATTGAAGGAAGTGTAGAGGAAGGGAACACGAGTAAAGCAATCCCTAAGAGCCAAAGGGTCAATTCATCAGTGACCAAAGAGAAGGATTCTAGCAGTAGAGTAAGAGTCTAAGAAGAGAGGAAAAAAAAGACAAGGAACGACCTCAATTCCTAAAGTAACAAAAGTGAAAAGTCTAGAAATTAAACCACTACCTTGAATCCGAGGGATCTAAAATGAAAGGAAGCTTAAAAAGAAGGGAAGAAACAGAGCAAAGGATATGCCTAGTTGGGAACGATCGACAAACCAAGAACCAAGGAAAAATTTGAATAAATTAGGCTTGCCTCACAGAACCTTCAGAGTAAAATTGGGAATTTTCCTACAAAACCCTAGATCTTCAACGAATTGGGGAAGATGAGTGTAAGAGAGGAAGGAGAGAAGAATTTGGAAAGAGAGAATACAAAGAGGGTTCAAAATAATGAAAGAAGCAGTTACCTGATGGTGTATTTAAAGCTAAGCATATAGAGGACACATGGAGCCTTATGGTAAGGAACGTGCCAGAGAAATGAGGAAGAAATGATTGTGCGTTTGCCATAACTGTCAAAAAAATGTCCAATCATGCGCATCTCTAGGTCTATTCAGAGCAACCTCACTCACCCAAGGTGGAGCTCAATCCCAGCTTATATAACTCTGCCTGACTAGGGACTAGGGGCAACTGATGGTACCACAAATATGCTCAAGGTTGAGCTTAGTAACGCAAGTCATGCTCTCTCAGGTCTGGCGCTCAGTTTAACCAAATTACCTATAGACCTCAACTTCAGACCTCAAACTCCTTGTGTCTACATCTCAAGGAAGGCTGTGTAGATGATAGTAGGATTCCACCAAATACCCCCTCAATAGCAACGGTTACTTATCAGGCACAAGTCTCGTAACCGTCCCAACACCCACCATAGCCATTGCATAGTAAATAAGACTGTTACAAGAAATAGGCAAGGATCTCGCCTCAAATCAAGCTAGGCCCAGGGGCAACTATAGATAGGAGGCAAAGCCATCGATAGGAACAACAAACAATTGTAGCCTCACTAAAATACTTTCTGTAAACTCTCCAATTATCAATATATTCTCCAAGAGCAAGAGACCCTCTTTGAGAGTGAATTAGCCAAGCTCTTGAGCTAGTGAACCACTATAAACATTCTGTGTGATAATTTCTTTCCCTAGATCCTACTCCCAAGAGCCTTGGAGCTCAGACTGAACTAGATTGAACTATTCAGTACACCTTGCATTCTCTCCTTTGCTCAGTCGTGTTAATAACATCGTCAAGTTTCATACCATTTATCACCCTTCAAGTATTTACTAGGGTAACCCATACTGAAGGTACGATGCAATGCGAATGGTTTTGAAAGGAATGTTGGTGGACATTGAATAAGTTCATTTGAGACCATCAAATGGAATTATTGAAATCTCTCCTATTTTATGTTATACAATTAAATTTTTTAGGTCGAACTTAGCAATATTTAGAGTTCACTTTTTAGATTTACTTACTATCTTTTAAGTTAAACACCACTTTTTTAATTGAAACTTACTATTTATTGGAATTCCCCCCCCTTTTTGATAGTGCCATCATGTTTCTCTACACTATTTAAAAGATCATCTGATCTATCTCATTCTTCCCTTTACTCCCCATAGAAACAAATGATACAAAGCCCTAGTGTGCACTTAAGGATGTACATAGGCAGAGCTAGGTTAGGGCTAGGGTGTCACGCCCTAATTTTCACAAATAGTGATATGAACTAAACTATTAACTATCAACCATGAAAGCATAGAACTAAAATAAACCATTGAATAAATTAAACAAATCATCATTCACTATTTAAACTATTGAATAAATTAAATGAATCATCATTCAATATCTAACTAAACAAATCCCAAAAGAACAAAATTCAACCGTCAAGATTACATCCAAAACTTTCAAATAAACTAAATATCTCATGCAACTAAAAAAATGTTAATAACATTCAACCATCATATACCAGTAAACTAAAGTATGTAAATAGAATTCTAAGCCTCAAAAACTGAATCCACATCTTGATCCACCTCAAACTCTAATTCCACATGCTCGCATGTGATGGGATTCTTTATAACAAAATTTTAAAAATATAAGGATGGGGTGAGCAAACAAGCCTAGTAAAGAAACTCCCTCTAAGTTAAACAAGGTTTATAAAAATATAAAATAGGTTGGTCTCAATTTAACCAAAAAACATATATAGTCTTTCAAAAAAAAAAAACCCCTGACATTGAAACGATATCAAGTTTATGATCCATCAATAGTAAATACGAAACAAAGTAGAATCATTCAGGAAAATCAACTTTTAACAAAAATATATCTCAAGTAAGTAGGTTGACTAACATGAATCTACATATTGAATATATCTAGTCTACAAAACTCTGCCTTCTTAATAATATCCCGTAGTGCAACAAAATTTTAGGAAGCGTGTATACTAATGCATCAACATTGACAAAATCTTCCTAGGATGTGGTATACTAACCCTCAGCCTTGGTTTCTATGAATGAATAGTGGTTTGGCATCCCACAGAGAACCAACCCCATTACAAGTGATAGAAAACCTTCAAATTCCTCAAGGTAAGAAACACGTCTAAACACTCTGCGATATAGCTTCGAATGGAACCCAAGTTCATCACACCCAACCATATAAGAGATAATGTTCATAATTCCCTCTAAAATTCATGTGCACCACATATTCCAAATTTCATAAGATACAAGAAATTTCAAGAAAACATGCAAGAGATCACCAATAACTTCA